CTATTTGTTTCCTTCCTGAATCGATCACTAACCGATCCCTGAGCAAGGTAACAGCATGCAGGCTCGTTGACAGACCTCCTAACATAGCCCCGACTGGATGCGGCGATACAAACTCGTCATCTGTATGGATACGGTCTCTGCATACCCATTTCCCGAAAGGAGGTGAACTATAATAGAAAAAGTACCAATTAGTACAGCTTACCTGGAGCCAACTGTAGCGCCCTTGTGAAGCATTTTACTGCCGAAACTGCATAGGCAATGTTAACAGGCACTGTAGACGGTGGAGGCGGAGTGGTCAGAGACGGATTGTGTATTGGCATCGGACTCAGTTGTGGAGGTATTAGTTGCATCATTGGTCCTGGTGGAGCACCAGGAGGTGGAGGTGGGCCAACTGGTAGTAGTGGTACACCTGTAAAGCATAAAAGAACTTTTGCAGAAATAAATCACAACACCACGTTGACGGAACTCACCAGCGGTGTTCACCGTGACTGGCATCATCGGCTGCGCTAGAGGTGCTCCTTGAAGTGGAGGTGGCATCGGAGCACCAACTGGTGGTATCAAGCCCATCCCTGGTTGAGGTGGAAGCGGTGGCGGGGGTGTCGAGTGGATGAGGCGAGTATGGGGCGAACGGACCGCTGCCGCCGCTACCACTTGCGACAGTTCCTTGTCGCGCGACAAAGCTGTGAAGTATGCCGAAGCTAGCTTGTGCCATGCCTGCAAGAATTAATTTTTGAAAGGTCTAAATTCTTCGTATCAGGAGAGGGAGACATAATGAGACATATTCTAGATACAAAATATAGGGCGTATTTCGGCCTCGAAGAAAGGTGCTAAATACCCCTCCCCCTCCTCAAGTTGAACATCGCTTGAAATAGAGTAAAATCAAACAAACCTTATGCCAATCCTTGTCGTACTCAGTGGATCTCGCATAATGTCGGATGACCTGTTCTGTAGCCGTCTGCTCGTCGCTAATAGGCGAGCCGCCGAACAGTGAACGATGTGGGCTTCCATTATGCGCAAACGCACCGCTACCACTGGTCGTCGGAGCGCTTTCGGCCAAGATTTCAGTCCATTCACCCAGCTTCAAGCAAGCCTGTAACCAAACATAATGAAATGAGTGAACTGCTAGTGACATCAGTACGCTGCCAAATAAAAGTGTCATGGCGGTGGCGCAGCTGGTTGCCACGGGTATGCGACAGGACAATCGTAATATGCCGCGCCGGTGAGTGTAGCGCTCGACAGACGAGTTGTCCTGCCTGGCCATTTGAATCTGATCTTCTAGGGATGGGGATATTTGATATCGCCCGTCATGCAGACTTTCCTTGCTTGAACTCGTAGTTTCGCTGGTCCGATGATAATTTCAACCAAGATTGTCTTGTCCGACCCCCTGCCGCGATCTTGATCAGGGACACACCCACACAGGCGAATGCCTTCTATCCCTCCAAGAACCAGATTCATTATTGAGGCGATAAGCAGAACTTGACAACACGCATGGACTTGAGCTGCTAAATGTCAAGAAACACACCCAACTAATACAGGTTGCCTGGAAGTCAGAAGCGCGGCGCATCTCATAAAGGGAGTGAACAGTGCTGCGAGCTCTGCGCTGTCCATTCTTCCTCTAATAACAGCTGGCGCTGTTTGGCTTGGGAGGGGCACCTCGTACTTCCACTAGCTCCTTTTGCTAGTATTTCATGTTAACTATTAACTAAAAGGTCTCACTTTGGTGGAACCTCTAAACTCATGTAAAGGCACAAGTGAGCCGACTCGGGAACATAAATTTAGAGGTCCTCACAAGGTGGTCTGTACAAGCTTCGGTAAGTACCATTTTGTGCCCCCACTAGCCGAACTGCCCCGAGTTTTAAAGTTATGCGAAACATTACGGTAGCACTCACTTTTGCACACAATCGGGCAGCCTCTGGTGTATGATTTGGAGGAAGACGATCAAGGTGGTTGACCAGAGCTTCCAGTGTTCGCACAGCTTCGTTACGGTAATCGTCCATCCATAACTGCTTGCACAACGCCAATACCTGAAATGCTTTCAGTCAAAGTGAAGGTCAACAAAACATACAGGAACGTGACGATGAAAAACACCTGAAGATATCACCTTCCCATGTGCGCGAATTCGGGCAATTTTGTTCTCCCGTTTTTACCATTCGCCTCACTGTTGACTGCAGACTTGAGAATGACCCCAGTTAAATGAAGAACTCACCAACTGCGGCTTATCACTCGGTGCCACGGCCTTATGGAGTGGAGCACCAGGTTCCAGTCCAAGCAGTTCACGTAGCACATCGCGACACATTACATGCTTTCCTTGCTTACGACAGAGCGACGAGAATTTCACACGTAGTGGATGCATTTCTTGCGGTGTCAACACCAGCGATCTGCAATTGAGAACACTTCAACTCGTCGAGACGGACCGCTGCTGACTACTTACCTCAGCATGAGTAACCGTTGCC